GAGATAGAAACATGGTTCTTGTCATATTTTTGTACCTCGATCAAGCCTTGGCTGAATCTAAATGCCTCTAGACTTCTTAGTTTGGCGACCCAATATATTTAAAGTACCAAGTTGAGTTGGGTTTCTGTTATTTAAACTGGAAAACATCCTAATTATTATGATTTTCTATCATTATAGGTGAGATTACAGCAATATGCACATTTTCCCAACTTGCAAAGGCTTTCTTTCTTAATGTGTCCCCCAGTAGCCTATAAAGCCTTGAAGGCAGGGGCTGAGACTTATTCACCTTTAAGCTATCTAAGCACAGTGTGTTGTATATAGTTGGCATCCAATAAGTATTTCTTGAAATGATAACTAAATACACAAATAAATTCCAAACAACCTAGTTGCAACCTAGTTAATGCCACAATAGCTCTGACAGAAAAGTTATTCTAAGGGGCAATGGAGTGGCCTCAGTCAGTTAGGTGTTTGACTCTTGATCTCAGCCCAGGTCATGATCGTGGGATCGAGCCCAACATCTGGATCCATGCTCAGCGAGGAGTCGGCTTGATTATTTCTATCTCCTGTCTCTGCCCTTCCCCCTGCACATGTGCTTGCTCTCTCTCTCTCTCTCTCTCTCTCTCAAATAAACAAATAAATTTTTAATTAAAAAACCTGGGCAATAATTTCTCTCTTTATAATAACAGACAAGTCTATTTTACCTCGACTGACTGCTATTTTTCAAACACAAGCTCTACATTAGAGCTGTAGGACTAAACAGGCCACTATCAAGAAATAATCCATTACTAAGGACACACAACACTATTTTATGCTAATGTCACAAAAAGCACAGGTAATGTTAAAGTCACCCTGCCTCATCAATGCCTCCCAAACAAGGGGGCGGCAGCATTAGATCTGGCCTCTGATTGCTATGAAGGTAATCTAACTTTTCTGGGAAACTGATTAAGGGGTGATTGTTTTTCTATTTTGCCACTCCACTTTCAGAGAGAAAGTCTGAGATAATCAAGAGTATCATTATTCCAGGACCTAGCCTGAGGATAGAAAAAAGGGGGGTTGTTTTCTCTGACACATACATGTCAAGATGAGTTTGTGTGTGCAATGTCATCACCGATACTAAGAATTGACAATACAATCTGATTACATTAATTCAGAGTCTAGGGAAAATAAATATCCCTCTTCATGATCATCAATTGCAATGTGGGATTCTGTGAAAAGTCTGAAGTGCCACATATCAATCAACCTAACACACTGACAATGTTAGCTGATTGCAGGATACATCAGATGTCTGGCTAGGGAATCACTCACAGCAACTGCAACAATGAAAGTGATTATAATTCAGTATTTTTTAATGATGTCTGATGTGCAAATGATTACTTTAGTTTTGCTCAGGAACATCAAATTCCCACCTGGGTGATAACCAAGCTTTGAACTATATGTCACCCACTATTCAACCACTATTGTCCAGAATTTAAAACAACAACAGTAGAGAAGACCTTCTTCAGTCTTGAGAATCCTTAAGATGTTTAAAAAGGAGCTCTACATTAAAGCCCATACAAATACGTGCATAATAAAACAAGTAGCTTAGTATGAGCTACTAGAATATTTGCATGTTATATGAAAAGACAGGCTCTTTAGCAGTCTTGTAAACATTAGGTTTCTGAACATAATTTTAGGGTAGCAGAATGCAAAGCCCCTTTACCCTGCTAATCACACCATCTCCACAGTAATTCTTTTTTTTTTTTTTAAGATTTTTATTTATTTATTCTTGAGAGAGAGAGAGAGAGAGAGAGAGTGTCAGAGACACAGGCAGAGGGAGAAGCAGGCTCCATCCTGGGAGCCTGATGTGGGACTCGATCCTGGGTCTCCAGGATCATGCCCCGGGCTGAAGGCAGGTGCCAAACCACTGAGCCACCCGGGCTGCCCTCCACAGTAATTCTTTACTCATTTTTCTGGTGTGGATTATATTTGCTCATGATTACTCAATTTGCTGACAATTACTTTTTGGGGTGCAGGGCAGAGAATGAGAGCAGGTATTTTAGGAAAATAAACTGATTATCCTTTATCTACTCAGTGAATTATTGATGAAAAAAACATGAATATAAGTTTCTGATAAGGCAATTCCCTCTGTGTTCCTGTAAGCTATTCAGAAATGAGAAAATATCATTATCTGGAAAGGAGAGCAATAAAAATTTGGCATATGGCCTAAGAGATAAAAAGGTAAAATGCATAATGCTTAAAGGTAAAAAAAAGGTTACCACGGCAGGAAGCTACAGACTCATATAGGGTACTATTCAATCATCTGAACCAAAAGAAAATGGAGTCACTACTTTTATGGAAAATCATCTGTCATGTTTTCTTACCTATGTTTTATCATCCATGTGGTAAGGAAACTCATGTTTTTTTTTTAAAGCCAGGACACCCGGTGGCTCAGTGGTTGAGCGTCTGCCTTTGGCTCAGTTCGTGATCCCGGGGTTCTGGGATCGAGTTCTGCACCATCTTCCCACAGAGAACCTGCTTCTCCCTCTGCCTCTCTCTGTGTGTCTCTCATGAATAAATAAATAAAATATTTAAAAATAAATGAAATCTTTAAAAATATAATTCATCTGGAAAAAGCCTTAAAAAAGGTGTAGATGGTCATTTCCAACCTGCTCCATCTAAACACATAAAGATATTCTCTTCATCTGAGTTAAAAACAAATGAATAGACGCTTGCAGACAGCGCTCTTTTGTTCATGAGAGAATGTGCTTCTCTGGAAAAGAAGGAAAAGCTAAAGTAGAATTTGACACCATGTTCAATTGCAATGGATTGTCGACACATGGTGGTTTTTGTTTTGTTTTGTTTTGTTTGTTTTGTTTTGTTTTGTTTTGTTTGTTTTGTTTTGTGAGAGTGTGGGGGACAACAGCCCCATGATAGGAAACCCTGGCTGACCTGAACCCACCGCCTGAGTCGGGCAGCCCGGACACTGCAGTTCCTGTTCGGTCCACAAGATGGCAACATTCCATCACTGCTGCTACAGAGGCTGTGCTCTAAGTACAACAAATGCGTTATTTAGTCCACCATTATTTTTAATTTTACTACTGACAGTCTGACAGAACTACTTAATATTGCTGGGTTGACCTTTCCGTGACTTTGTGCTAAACCTTTTTTTTTTTTTTTTAAGCTTCCCTTAATCTGCTGCGTCGGGAAAAGAATACAGTTGACTCCGCATGATGACAGGCTGCCCTGATACTATCAGTAGACAGCACTGGTCAAAACAAGTGGGTAGAAAGGCAGGATTACAGGCAGGAACTGGTGCTGTACGACATTGCATCCTGGATGCACGAGCATTCTGTGCCCGTGGACAGCTCAGGGAAAATGTTCAGCCTGCCATCACTCCCCAGGAATCACTGAACAGGGCCCTTCCACGGCGCAGAACAATAACATACAGGACATAAAGTTAATTTCTTTAGGTTCAGTCCTCTTCTCCCCTGGGAAAGGAAGATTGTCCATCTGGGGGAAGATCTTTCTTAAAATGTCACCTCTGAAGACTCAGCAGGCTGTTAAGGAAAGATAACAAAACTTTTTCCCCCACACACTTGAGAACAAAGTACTGCTGCTTAGAAGATGCATATAGCACACTTGGAAGGGCAGGGATGACAGCCACCAGTGAGGTCTGCAAGAGGTTTCAGGGATCTGAAAATAGCAACATCACTGCCATTTACCACACACTTACTTTTTGCACCACAACTCTGTGATAAAAGCTCCATAGGAATTTTACTCGTTTTAAATCTCTCACAACTCTGAGGGCTGTAGTGCCATCAGTTCCATATTAACAGATCAAGTGTCTGAAATGTAAGGAGGTTATGTGGTAGATGACAACACAGTTGGCAAGTGGACATCAAGCCAATATTAAAGTTAATATTATTCCAGGAGCTACACGGTGGAATCATAACATTATACTGTCATATACATGTCATGTACATGTCAATACTATAACAAACCATAACATCATACTGTCCCTTGGTGCCCTCTGATATAGGTAAAGTCTCTCCTCATAGTGCCCACCTCATCCAAACCACAAGAGCCTTTCTTGGCTTCCTCAGGCCCATTCTCAGAAAATTCTGATAGGAAACTCCCAAACAGGTTGTGCTTTACGCCCCTTGGCTCCTCAGGCCTCCTTACAGAAGCCAGGAAGAGCTCTACCTTGCTTTGTGGTTTATGACCGTGGAACTCATGCTGGATGTGTTAGAATTGGAGATGTTTAATAGTATCAAGGAGTTTATATTATAACTTAGAATCTTAGCTCTTTTATTTGGGCCAGCTCAGGTAAGATGCTATACGAGACTTTTTGACAGAGAATCACTTGTTTTAGAAACAAAAGAATTGAAAGAAACCAAGGGACTATGACCAGGAAGGCACTTACAATAGGAGTCTATGGGTTAGTGGGACATGTAAGTGCCCAGAGACCCAGTCCAGTTATGTTAGATGCCAGGCTTGGTGAAACAAGATTGACCTTAGCCATGAGATGTGCCAGACTAAGGTACGTTCAAAGTCCATAAGTCTACAAAAGTGCAAGGCTGGAGCAGGTAATAAAATGTAATTTAACACATGATCCATATTAAGGTGGGCACAGGTGGACATTTGGCCAGCTAACCAGAAGAGCTGACCCACTCTGAATTACCACGTGGACCAGCACTGATCTGAATTACCAGACAGGGTCAAGGCAGGTACACCATGCTCAGCCTCTGGAGCCTAAAAGAATATACTGTTTTGCATTCCAAGAAGTAAAGGAGAGACCCAAACTCAAGTGAATCTTCTACAACTTTTTGAGTATATTATTGAATATAATTTTAGTATTAGAAGAAATGGAGGAAAAAAAAGAAAAATAGGAGGGCATAATACTTTTGTGAGTAAGCGAGCTGGTGAGCAGTGAAACATCATGAGTTCAGTTCACGCTCTAATATACATAGTCACCATTGCCACCCCCATAGAGCAAGTTTTGATAAGTTCTACATACGTACAATTTTCAGATGAGATAAAAGTCTCATGACATCCGCCATGTCCGCCAGGATGAGTAAGCGCGTTACAGCTGAGAGCAAAGCCCTCGCGGCCCGCACCATGGTGCCACGCTTCACTGATGAGCAGGGGTCATCAGCAAACTCTGAAGAGGCGATGCGCATTGTCTCACCTGGAAAATACAGATGGAGAGGCGCGTGGGTAGACTGGAAGCTCAAAGGCTAGCAATCCTAAAGATCTGTGGACGGCAGCTGTGGACAAAATAGGATGTTTGTTTCACACAGAAATGTGAAACTGTGCTTTGAATAGCAATAAGAAATATATTTAATTCAATTTGTCTAATAGTTGAAATGAATTTGACCTAAATCATTCTCACTTTCCCTTTCCCTTGGAACCAATGGGATTTACTAGGCAGCTAGTTGAGCTTACTGACAGTTGAGGTACAATGTTAACTGCTCCACAGAGAAATGAAACTAAAACCTTGGCCTCATTAACACTGGACTCTTAATTGAACTAATCAGACAATAATAGACTTTAGAGATACCCCAAATGTAGTCTTTTAATACCCTGCTAAGAAGCTATTCTCTAACATAGAGAACATTTATAGAATTGAACCAGTTCAACAAACCCACACTATGTCAGCTATTATTAAGCTGTGGAATTACAAAGGTGACTGAGGATGCCCTGGTCTCAAGGGGTCCGCCATCTAATAAGGAGACATAATGCAAATACATACTCATAATATGTGTGACTACATGCCACAATACACATATGATTGAGAATGAAGACAAAGAACGAGGAGTGATTTACTTATTTAGTGTGAGGCTGGGAGAAGCCATCAATGTTAATGGGCTTTGAAGAACGAAGAGGTGTCCACCAGAAAGACTGTGGCGGGAAGATCACCCTTGGCAGCATGAACACCCCATCGGCTCTGAAAGCTGGAGCAGGATACTGAGTGTAAGGAACTACAGTCAAGTGGGAAGCACAGTGAGGAAGGGGTACAGAGAAGAGAGCCAGCAGCGTTTGGAAAGCTGTGAAAGAGATCCGAACTGTGTTCTTGGCAGGGAGGGAAGTGACATTAATAGATTTTTATTTTGGTGACATTGCATAAAATAAACTGAAGTAGACAAGCTTAGGGCAGAAACACTAGTTATTAGGGCAAATGCATTACAGTCTGGGAGGAGCAATAATGAGGGCCTGGATGGACCAGGAAAATAGAAACAGGACACAGAGAGGAAGGAAATATTAATGAGATCTGTAATAGAGAAAGACCAAATTTAGAGACTTGAGACCAGAGAGAGGGTGGAATTGTTGGTGAATACAAAGTATTTGTACAAAGGGACCCAGGAGTGGGAAACAAAGGTGATCACTGACTAGGAGGACACAGGTCCTCTACCAGTGGACTGGGTATCACCTGAGGTAGAAAGGCCTGGGAGGCAGCATAATGCAGCTTCACGTAGGGCATACACAGAGGTAATAAAAGCTTCATCAATAAACTTGAAGAATAGAGTTAATATGACCAATTATTTAATTTAGGGTAAAACAATTCATTCAATATTTTATTTATAGAAATGATTACTTCTCATCTATTAATCAAAACCTAGCTCATTTAAATAAAGTCAACTGTATCATTGAAAGACTGTGCATCCTGTAATGTATCCTAAGATACAAGAGAAAAAAAGAAAAACACCTCTTAGCATTTCACAAGCAGATCAGAATATAATATAATTCACTCAATGTTATAGTTATTTAAACCCTCAGAGGGACACTTTTCATATTTGGGAAATGAGGTGCATCAGCAAATATATTGTGCTGTTAGATTTTTAAAAGAGGCTACCATCGACAATAAGCATGTTAAATAGCCAACCAGTTTAGTCTCAATGCCTAGGCACAAACAAATAGCTTGATACATAACAGCATGGGAGATATGTAACAATTCATTACCCTATAGCACAAACGTGAACTTCCAAGATGTCTGGCCCTTCAGGACTAAATAAACTTTAAGGTAGAGGCGGGTAATTAGGAAATACATATTTAATTTTAGGTGTCCTACCCTTGCTACAGGATTACATAAATCTCCTCCTCATCCCCCGGAACCCTGAAAAACAAACAAACAAACAAACAAACAAACAAACAAACAAACTGACTATCTGTGCTGTGAGGAGAAGACAATCTCATTCTCACTCTGCATAGAGCAACTGGAAAGAACATTCACAACAGTAGGTGAATCTAATGAAATATTGAGAAGGTCACCACAACTAAAGACGGACATATCAGGAGTGCCTGGGTGGCTCAGTTGGTTAAGTGTCTGCCTTTGACTCAGGTTGTGGTGTCAGGGTCCTGGGATCAAGCCCTGCTTCAGGCTCCATGCTCAGCGGGGGGCCTGCTTTTCCCTCTCCCTCTGCCTACTGTTCCCCTTGCTTGTGCTCTCTCTCTCTCAAATAAATAAATAAATAAAATTTAAAAAAAAATAAAGATGGACATATCAGTATATGCTATTAATAGGTGGAGCAGCTGCTGTTGAAATGAATCTACTTATTCAAGGAAAGGTGAGATTTATCCTGCACATAAACCCACATGGTTGATCCCAAATTCTGCAAGTTAAGTTGGTAGATGAGCCACAGTAACAGCAGGTCACTCACTCAGGTAGGGCTACCCTCTAAACAAAGGCCCTGGGAGGCAAGCCCAGTTGTATCCCTCAGCATGTGGAGGAACCATGCCTAATCAAAAATATTCAAGTTTAGATTTTTAGATAGAGGATCAGTATGATGCCACTCAATCCAGGTGCTGGCCATTTGGTCAGCAATACTGCTTCAAAGTTATGAGTAACACAGCAGTATAGAGCTGTCAGGTGGAACTAATCAAGCTAGTGCCCTCCAAATAGCCACCCCAGAAAGGAACTCTAGAGATGTCTGTGAGAGAGGAGAGGAGGGGGGAAGGAAAGATTGACAGGAGAGAGACCCACATAAGTAAATGTAACTCTGCAAATGGAAATTTCATTTGAAATTCTGAGATTATTCTAAGATAAATAGAAGATGATTTAATTCCATTTAAATTACAACGAAAAACTTATTTTAAGGAGGTACAAATGATTTCATGTTGTTAAAGATTCTAAAGGAAAAGCAATCCGAAGTCAACTACAACTTAAATGAATTTTATATCCCTGTAGTTTTATGATTACTGAATTAAAATGGAAATCTATGTTATGCAATGATAAGCGAGTTTATCAGGATAAAATTAGCTATTTTCCCAGGGAACTGCTTTTTCTATAAGACTAAAGTATTTAGCTAAGAAACAGTATGCATGTGTAGGAGATGGAAGGGATCAAAGAAGAAAGGATAACAGATCTATTTCTTTTATATATACACCGTGTTCAATATCAATTACTTGATATGGACCTAAGCTCAGAGCAGGGTTTCTATAGTAGTCTTTGGTCTCCCAAGCTACTACCACCTGATAGAAAGAAGAAAAATTAACATCTCCAAATAAGTGACCAAAGGGAAATAATAACAATTAATATGCACATAATGCTTCTATATAAAGGTTTATTATATAAGTATTGTTCTAGGGATGCCTGGGTGGCTCAGTGGTTGGGCGGCTGCCTTCGGCTCAGGTCGTGATCCTGGGATCTGGGATCGAGTCCCACATCGGGCTCCTCTGAAGAGTCTGCTTCTCCCTCTGCCTATGTTCTGCCTCTCTCTCTGTGTGTCTCTTATGAATAAATAAATCAATCTTTAAAAAAGAGTATTGCTCTAAAAACTATACATATAAGTCATAGATTAAAAGATCAGTAATCTTTAAAATCACAAAGATCTAGGATCATATTCTGACTCCATCCCAACCATTACCAAAAATTAGACTCGGTGATTATTCAATCTTTGTGTTTCAGTCATCTTAACTGCAAAACAGGAGCCAAACTAATGAAAGAGGCCTTGTGGACTGTCATTAGGGTCAAAGGTTAGAAGTGATGTAGTCCAAGCCCCTAGCACAAGCTTTTACCCATAATGGGGGCCTACTCATTATTGTCATTAATACTACTGCTGGTCCTCTCCATGACAAGAATAGTTCATGGTTAAAGGCTTGGAAGTGCTTTTTTTTGTTGTTGTTGTTGTTGTTGTTGATTCCATTCTTGCGTATACAATAATTTAGAAGCAGGAAAATGTCTGCCCAATAAAAATATTTATTGTTTTAGGGCAGAAAATACCCTCCCCTCTCTCCCCCAATGGCTCAAGTCCTTGGCTTTCAAATTGGTGCTTGTTCTGGTTCTTACACTACCCTGGAGACACTGGGATGGATAGATAATGGTGAATAAGCTTGAGGTAATAGCAACTCAAATGTGGAATGATGCAGGACAGAAGTAATACATAGAAGAGAGAGATAAGATGCAGAGGACAGTCTCAGGAGTAGAAAAGGTCACTTGAGAAGCAGATTATGAACCAAAATAACATGAATACCAGGTGGTGCATCCTTTGAAGGGAGAGCCTGCAGGCAAAAGCAGCTCTCTTTAGATACTTGACAAATGAATTATTGGAAAACTGTGAGAAGTGGCGGGGAGGGTATGATGAAAAGCTAGGTTCAGAGAATATTAAACTGTCTTCCAGAACATTTTCTATGCTTATATGTTTAACCAGCAGTTATCATGTTACATCTAAAATTGCATCTTCTTTTTAGTTACATAAATTCTCCTTTAATTACATAGATTCTGTATGATCAAGTATTTGGCATAAATTGATGGTTCATGTTCTTGATATTTTCCCATTGTAGACTTCCTAGAAAAGATGAGAGATAAAGAGCAAAAAGTTCTAACCCTCTTAGCTGTGATTTGATCCCTTTTCACAATAATCTATGGCTGCCTCAGAACCTTTTTCACACCTATTTTCCTCGAGGTACAAATCTTAAAAGATCCTGAGAAATGGACTCTCTACTGTAATGCAAAAAATGCAATATATTTTTAGAGAAGAAAGATTAGTGAAGTCTAATATCTAATCACTGTTTCACAAACTCTTGGCTAATTCTGTTCCCCAAACTGTACATCCTCACTGAGACCTACACAGAGACAATGAAGGAACAGACACAACAGAATTTCTAAATGATAATTGAGTGGACAGTGCACATCTTCTGAATATTTTATCATTTTGATTATGTTGTAGAATATATAAAGCAACGCAATGC